CTGGGTCTGGCCTGTACACACTGACCACTGAGTCTCCACTGGTAGCTGAGTCAGGTCAGGCAGCTGCGTCGGTTGAGGTCGCTTCGTCTTGTTCGTGTCGTCTCGTCACGCACCAGACTCTCCTCTTGCACCACCGTCTTGGTCACCCCTCCTTGCCACGCCTGCGTGTCATGCACTCCCGTCTCCTTGTGTCTGGTCTCCCTAGGTCCCTGCCCCCGCTTCCGAGGTCGCTTGCACCGCCCTGCCTTCCCTGCGTCGAGGGGCGGCAGCGCGCCGCTCCTCACTCCTCCTCGTTTCCTCCTACCACTGCTCGTCTGCAAACCCTCCACATGGACGTGTGGGGCCCCTCTCGCGTCACTGGCCAGGGTGGCGAGCGCTACTTTCTGCTGGTTGTAGACGACTACACGCGCTACACCATGGTCTTCCCCTTGCAAAGCAAGGCGGATGTCAGCGGTGTCTTGATCCACTGGATCCGCGCTGTCCGTCTCCAGATTAGCACTCGGTTCCGTCAGGACCTCCCAGTCCTGCGGCTGCACTCTGGCTGAGATGGTGAGTTTTCCTCCCGCCTCCTCGAGAACTTCTGTGGTGCTGAGGGCATCGTCCAGTCGTACACGCTTCCGGCCTCTCCACAGCAGAATGGGATTGCCGACCGCCGCATTGGTCTGGTCATGGAGGTTGCTCGCACCTCCATGATCCATGCGGCTGCTCCCCATTTTCTATGGCCGTTTTCTGTCCGATACGCCACTGAGCAGCTCAACCTCTGGCCCCGTGTCTCCCACCCGGAGACCTCCCCTACTTTACAGTGGACGGGCGAGGTTGGTGATGCGTCGGCGTTTCGGGTCTGGGGTTCCCTCTCTCTTGTCCGCGATTTGCCCGCGGGCAAGCTTTCTCCACGCACTCTTCGGTGCGTGTTCCTTGGATTTCCCACCGACACCCCGCCCTGGATATTTTACCACCCGAGCTCTCGTCGTGTGCTGTCCTCCCGCGACGTCACCTTTGACGAATCCGCCTGCTTCTACCGTCTTCACCCCCACCGTAGTTCCCCGGTACCCCTCCCTCCTCCCGGTCCCGCTCCCTCAGGTGTGTCTCAGGTAGACACACCCTCCTTGGTTGAGCCTTTGAGGTCTCCTCAGACACCTCTGGCCCAGCTGAGGGGGGTGACCAGACTGCTGCTGACACCGTGGCCCCTCGCCGCTCCGCGCGCTTGGCGGTCCCTCCTAGTTTCCCGCCTCGACCGTCTTCACCGCCTCTGCGGCCCGTCGCTGTAGACTCTGGTGCTGCTGGAGGTGGTGACAATAAGGGTGCGGACTCTGGGGGTGCTGGCTCTGGGGGTGCTGCGAGTCCTACGGGTGCAAGGGGTGCTGGAGGTGCTGCTGCTGGAGGTTATGCGGGTGGAGGTGCTGGTGGTGCTGGTGCTGGTGGTGCTGGCGCACGTCGGCAGGAGACTCTCTCGTCGGAGCGGCTTCGTGAGTGGGCTCTCCGTTGGGGCAGCCCTGGTGGCGGCGCTGGACGTACTGGAGCTTGAGGTCCTGGAGGTGCTGGACCTGGAGGTGCTAGTGCTGGTGTTCCTGGAGTTGACCGTACTGGAGGTACTGACACTGGAGGCACTGGTGCTACTAGAGGTACTGGAGGTACTGGTTCCGTGGGTGCTGTTGCGGGTGGTCCTGACTCACGTCGACAGGAGCCTCTCTCGCCGGAGCGGCTTCACGAGTGGGCTGTCTGGTGGGGCAGCCCCGGTGGCGGAGCTGGACGTGCTGGAGCTGGAGGTACTGGAGGCACTGGCCCTGTAGGTGCTAGTGCTGTTGGTCCTGGAGTTGGAGGTACTGGTGGTGCTGACGCTGGAGGTGCTACTGGAGGTACTGGAGTTTGTAGTGCTAGTCGGCAGGAGTCGCTCTCGCCGCAGCAGCTTCGCGAGTGGGCTGTCCGTTGGGGCAGTCCCGGTGGTGGAGCTGGAGGTACTGGTTCTGGGGGTGCTGTTCCTACTGGGGCTCGAGGTTCTGGGGGTGTGACTACTCAGCAGCAGCCGTCTGCGCTTCGTCACCTTCTCAGTCTCCCACCTGGTGCTACTGAGTTCCCGGTTGCTGGTACTACTCCTCCGTTACTGTTCCCACCGACTGACCAGTCTCAGCCACAGCTACTGCCTGGCTCCCCGCTGCCTGCTCCTGCTCCTCACACTGAGGTGACTGAGCCCCTGACTCAGCGTCGTGAGCCTGAGACTCGTGCTTCCACACCAGTTCGTGCTCGTCGTGTTGCCCGTCCTCGCGCTCCAGCTGTGCCAGGCACTCACCGTATGGCACTTCGTCCTTCCTCTGTTCCTCAGCGTGTTGTCCTACCGTCGCCTCCTGCGTCTTCTCTTCCCCACGTTCCTGACCCTGAGTCTGACCTTGTCCGTACTGCCAGTCCGACTATCACTCGTCTCCTTGCCACGGTTGTGAGTGGCCCTTCATTTGATTCTGCTGCTGCGTCTGCCTTAGTTGCAGAGCTTGTTGACTTTGCTGCTCAGGGCGGTGCAAGCGACCTCGGAAGCGGGGGCAGGGACCTGGGGAGACCAGACACAAGGAGACGGGAGTGCATGACACGCAGGCGTGGCAAGGAGGGGTGACCAAGACGGTGGTGCAAGAGGAGAGTCTGGTGCGTGACGAGACGACACGAACAAGACGCAGCGACCTCAACCGACGCAGCTGCCTGACCTGACTCAGCTACCAGTGGAGACTCAGTGGCCAGTGTGTACAGGCCAGACCCAGGCCTCCGAGTGAATGTGGCGAGGTGCTCACCAGTGCGCGAGTCCGTACAGATCGCCACTAGCTCGCCTCCAGGCTGGGTGACAGTGACCCACTGGTCCTGGAGGACAGAGGTAGCCACCAAGTTCTTAGCGAACGAGGGGAGGTGGAGACCTGTGAGGAGGCCGGAAGGGGCCGCCGGACAAGGGAGAACAGTAGCGCCACGCGCGACTACCGGGCCCCCGGAGGGGTCGGCCAGTGTGACAGGGACAGGGGTTGTGAGCGGTGTGACTGTGGTGCTATCGCGGAAGAAGCAAGGAGACGCGCCTGAGTCGAGAGTAAAAGTGTGCAAGGCCCCCTCGGGCTCTGCACCTGTGCTAGTTGAGTCAAAAGCACCAAGACTAGCAGCCTCTACGCCACCAAGTGCCTCTACACCCCCAGTACGAGTACTCCGAAACCCTCCGCCACCGGGGATGCCCCACCGGACAGTACACTCACGAAGCTGCTGCGGGGAGAGAGTCTCCGGCTGACGCCACTGCTGCTGCTGTCCACCCCCAGAACCTCCGCGTCTACCAGCGGCACTACCAGCAGGAGTAGACTCACAGGGACCTCCAGTAGTAGCACCCCAGGCTCCGCCACCGGGGCTGCCCCACCGGACAACCCTCTTGCGAAGCTGCTGCGACGAGAGCGTCTCCTGCCGATGAGTACGAGGACCGCCAGCACCAGCACCTCCAGCTCTAGCACGGCTAGCTCCGCCACCGGGGCTGCCCCACCAGATAGCCCACTCGCGAAGCTGCTGCGGCGAGAGAGACTCCTGCACACTCGGCTGCCGCTGACGTAGGACAGTGGTAGTGGCCATGGCAGGCAGTGGCAGCTAGTAGCAGCAGCTGCAGCTTAGCAGCAGAGCAGCGCAGCAGCAGTAGCACAGGCGGCAGTAGCAGCGTAGCAGCACTCGGGGCAAGGCGGCGCTAGCGCGGGAAAGGGCAGCGCGGGGCAGCGCACGCGGGTGGCAGCAGCACCTAGGGCGGCAGCAGCAGGCGGCAGCACCTAGGGGGACAGCACCTAAGGCAGCAGGCGGCAGCACCTAGGGCGGAAGCAGCACCATCTAGGGCGGCAGCAGCAGGCGGTAGCACCTAGGGCGTCAGCACCTAGGGCGGCAGCAGCAGGCGGCAGCACCTAGGGCAGCAGCAGGCGGTAGCTCCTAGGGCAGCAGCACCTAGGGCGGCAGCAGCAGGCAGCACTTGCGCGCGGGCAGGGCAGGCGCAGGCAGCGCGAGCAGGGCAGGGCAGGTGCGCGTGCAAGGCAGCAGCGCGGGGCAGAGCGCACGCGCGCGGGCAAGGCGCTTACAGGGCAGGGCACGGGTCGTTGGGCAGCAGGGCGCGCTGGCGCGCTGGGCAGCGGGGCGCGCTGGCGCGCTGGGAAGCGGGGCGCGCTGGCGCTGTGGGCAGCAGGGCGTACTAGCGCGCTGGGCAGCAGGGCGTACTGGCGCGCTGGGCAGCAGGGCATACTGGCGCGCTGGGCAGCAGGGCGTACTGGCGCGCGGGCAGCGCACGGGCAGCGTGCGGGCAGCGGGCGGGCGGCGCGAGCAGCAGGCGGGCGGGCGCACTAGGCAGCGCGACAGCGCGCGGTTTTGGGCAGGCAGCGCGGTAGCGTGCCGGGCAGGGCAGGGCAGCAGCGCGACGGCGTGCTGGTCAGGGAAGAAACGACGGGCCGGGCAGGGGAAAAAACGACTGCCGGGCAGAGCGGAACGAATACGGTGGGCCCAAAAAAAACCGGTCCTAACCGGGGCCTACTCTGAAACCATGTTAAGAAAGGAATGATTGACTAAGCGGGATGAGTGGTACAAGTAGCAACCCTAACAAAGGGTTGTACCCCATAGGAAGTGACCCACTACAGCCTAACATAACTAACATGATATGAACATGTTTTGACACCTGCTTCCTGATGACCTCCTGGAAAAGGAGTTGCAAATCGTGAAGAGGGAGAGGAGTACTGTTATTTTTCAGAAGACCAGGTAGCAGGGCTCTAGCTTGGTTTTTGGTGTGGTGACCCTGGGCAAACAGTGTGAATCCTGGCTATATGGCCACTGGATAGGTTGAAAAAATGGTACCGTAACCCTGATTGGACAAGGGTAAATTCTGTGTTGTAAGTGGGGGCTGATACCGGTATTAACGGAGAAAACTGCACTGCACTTTGCCCGTTATACATTGTGACTATTTGTTACAATAATGTTTCATGTACCATTCCCCCGGATACACGCCCCTAGCTTGAGGTACTGGATCACTTATTTGCACCGGCCAACCCACCCTTCTCCTTCCTCCTTGCTTCCCAGACTTCCCCCACCATAAGCGCCTTACTCCAGTCCGCATCACTGACCTCCCATCTCCTTCTGAACCGCACGTCAGAGTTGCTGAAGAGGCACGGCAAAGACAGCACCCTGGCAGCATGGCGGTCCTTCCTCGTCACCAGGAAGTACCGAGGCACCAGCACCCGTGGCAGGCTGCGCAGCAGAACGGTTGGCCACACCCTGATGTCCTCCTTGCTGCGCATCATCTCCTCCAGAATAAAATCAATCTTCGGCCGGAGTGTGCTATGCCGGACCTGTATAATCCCCGGCTCGCGCTGAATCATATCTAGGGTAACTTCCTCTCCAAAAATGTCGATAAGTGCGAACATGGCCTCTTCTATTGTCCGAGGAGAGACAGTGAGCAGGGCTGGGTGGCGGGAGAGCACATAGGAGGTGCCTTGTGGGCCAAAGAGAGTGGTGAGTGTGGTTACCACCTCCTGCATGGTTTCCCTTCTGGCGTGGAGGATGTGTGGTTGCTTGCGCACGAGGGAGAGCACTGCTGGATCCGCCGTGAATGAAAGAGACGGAGCGAGAGGAGGGACCGGGAGAAGAGATGCAGAGTCAAGTCTTATCCTCCTTTCACATCCGCTCCTTCTCGCTCTCCCCTCTCCTTCCCCTCCTCCACTTCCGTTTTCACCTCCAATCCCCTCCTGCGCTTCTGTCAGCGGCACAATTTCAGCCAATCGGGAAAGCCTCTGCTTGAGAATCTCAGGAGAAAAGCGAAGGGCGAGTGGGTAGCGGAAGAGGAGGGAGTGAGGGGGGGAGAGGATAGAGTGCATTGCAGAAAGGTGCAGCAGGAGGGAGGGCAGGGGCGTGCGGAAGACACGGCAGGCGGCAGAGTGCAGCAGCTTGGCGACAGTGGGGGGAGGGAGGTGCAGGAAGAGGAAGTGCAACACCTGCTGTATGTGGGGGAGATCGGTGGAGGGGAGGTGAGAGGGAGTGGGGCTGGTAGGAGGGCTGTGGGTGTGAGAGAGAGGTACAAGTGCGTGTTGCTGCTGCTGGTGCTCTGGGTCGAGCAGTGGTTGCTGCAGGTGAGTCGAGCTGTGTTGTTGCTCTGGAATGGCGTCGATCTCACTGCTCTTGTTGCTGCTGTCATTGCTACTACTGCTGCTGCTGTCATTGCTGCTACAGCTGCTGCTTTCACTGCTGCTCGTTCTGCTAATGCTGCTGCTGCTGCTGCTGTTGGTTCTACTGCTGCTGTTGGTTCTGCTGCTGCTGCCATTGCTGCTGACGTCATCCAGCCGGGCATCCAGAATCAGCTCGGGCACCCGCCGGATAACACTCAGAAACAGCGACTCGGGCAGCCCGTGGGCAGAAAAGATCTCAAGAGCTGCCCGGATGCGGTGGGTGAGGGGCACGAGGAAGAGCGAGGAGCAGGCGCGGAAGATGGCAGCGAGGGTGTCGGGCGGGGGGTGCAGGGCGAGCAGCGCCATGGCGTTGTCCCTCGTGGCCCGGTGCGAGGCGAAGGGCGGCGCGATGTGCGCGAGGTGGGAGGAGTAGAGGTCTTGGAACTGCACGTGTAGAGAAAGGGGGGGCGAGGAGGCGGGAATGAGGATGGGGGTGGGGTTGGCGGTGGGGGTGGGTGTGAGGGTGGAGGAGAAGGTGGTAAGGGAAGCGGTATCATCATGGAGCTCCTTCAACTCGGAAGCACCACCCATCTCATCCTGCTGCTGCTCCCTCACACCGCCATCGCTCCAACCAGCACCCCCACCGCTGCCACCACCCCGCCCGTCCGCTTCATTGCCACCACCGGCAGACGGGACAGCAGCACCACGCTCAGAGACCACTGCCCGTGGCCTCCCCCTCCTCCGCCGGCTGTGCAGCCTCGTCCCATCAGCGCCCTCGGCTTCCGCACCCACTACTCCTTCACTCCCCTTCCTCCCATCCTCCGCACCACCTGCCTGCTCCTGCCCCTCCTCACCCCCCTTCCTTTCATCTGCTTCGTTCCCTTTCTCCCCATCTCCTCTTCTCCCCTTCCCCTCGCCTCCTCTTTTCCCCTTTCCCTCATTTCCACTCTTCCCCTTCCCCTCCGCTAACCTTTTCCCCTTCCCCTTCTCTCTTTTTTTCCCCTTCCCCTCCTTTCCTCTTCTCCCGTTCCGCTCGTCTCCATCAACGAAACCTCGCCTTTCTGCCACGTGGCACATCGATCTCCACGTCCCCACCCTCCACCTCGTACTCGGTACTATCAACCCCGCTTCGTGCACAAGCCACACCCGCGAATCCACTGGTCTCGCGCACCGCACCTGCTCTGCCCTGCCGCCTCTGCCTCCCATGTCGTCCCAGATACCCGGCCTTCTCATCTCTCCAACACGTATTGCAGACGTTCGAAGTACTGGGATTGGCAACCCTGAAGGTGATGATAGTGCCGATGCTGATTCTGATGCTGCTGGTGATGCTTTAATTTCTTTAGCGGGCGCCAGCGCAATCCTCGATCCGTCCCGTGGCTGCCTCGCTCGCCACCATGGATCGCGCTTCCACGGAATAGCGGGGCTAACACAACCTGGAAGCGCTCTTATCGAACAGCTACTGTAACGGAGCAGCCTACAGGCGCGCAAACACGCCGTGCTGCTGATTCCGCCAAGCAGGTCACGCGGGATGTGCGGGTTTCCAAGTCCGAGCCAATGCCGCACTGCTGACGTGGACGCATAAGCGCAGCGTGTCGCGATCCGCCGTATACTTTCAGAACCGCGCATCACAGCGGCGAGCGCGCACCGCACGAATGAGCCCGAGCGCGAGAAGCGTTACATTCCATGCTACCCATGGGCTCTAGCCGCTGATGCGACTCGAATCAAGAGCGGATTCGCTAGAAATCGAGCCGCTCTTCACCTGAGATCCCTCCACGGTGCGAAGCCACGGTGTCGCTGGACTGAGTTGCTGTGCGGTGGGGAGTCGGGGTCTTGATCAGGCGTGTACGAGGGGTTCAGGGTTGTGTCGCATGTGTGTTATCAAAGTTTAGAAATTCGAATCTCGAGAGTTGATCGCGTGTACTGAGTGGGTACCAGTTGCGGTTATCGGATTTCTTTTACCGATGTTTCACCATCCACAACATTCACCTCTCAGAAGCAGGCCCTTCACCTCATCTTGTGGTCCCTACCCCACCCCACTGCAACCAGCCTTATGGCGTAGCAGAATGGAATGCAGGAAATTCTCCTTCGCGGCCGTCTTTATACCTCGTACCTCCATACCATGCGACCATCGGAAGCTTCTAACTCGGTGCACGTGGAGAGGCATCAGCGCATGTCGCATCGTAGTCACCCATGCCCATGCCCATCGTCAGCTGAATCTCGTGGAAAAAAGCCCTCGAATGTGACGCACATGGAGCGGCGTCAGCGACATCGAATCGCATCGTGCGCTGCATCCCAATGTCCGGCGCGCAGTCTCTCAGTTTCGCAGTCTTGGCGGAGGCCATGGCGTTGCGTTGCCTGCATGCTCGCAGCCCGCGACGCCGCTCAGCCTGAGCAGATATTGGCCAAGGCTGAACGTCCCTGTGTGCGGTACCGTAGCGCCGCGGGGAATGCTGAGCGCCATACGCGCGAGCCGATGGTCGCCTGGAGGCCAGAAACCTCTTTTGCTGTTCCTTTCGAGCGGTTTGGACGACCTGATAATTATCAGCGCTGCTTTTCAACAGCAGTGTGTAGCGTCGACGCAGACTAGCAGTGCGTTTCCTGAACATTTCGATTCCTGTTCTGGGCCGAACGAGTTGCAGCAAAGAGACGGCCGCGAATGGGCGGCGATGGAAATCGCGAATCTCAGCCTTAACGAAACAGCAGTTTACCGTGATTCTGAGGCGCCTCAACACGAGGCTGCAGCAGCAGTAGCACCAGCAGCAGCATTCGACGATGATGGCGTCGAAACTCTTTCAAATTGGCTAACGCGCGTCATTCGCGAGGCGACGACAGAGCAGCAGCAGCTTGACTCCATCGCGTCGTGCCTCTTCGTCGCGAACGCCATGTGCGACTGGCCGGACTCGGACGCGCACAGGCCCAAAAAGAAGTTGGGGTTCGACATCTACTGCAAGATGCCGCCCGTCAAGACGCTGCTCGCTGCGCAGCGGGCGCGCAGGCGCACGGGCGTGCAGCACGCACACGGGAGCAAGGAAGAGAGCAATGAGTGCGACGGTGAGTGGTTATCGCTTCGGCTGCTCTCTGCCAACGTGAGCTCAGCGGAGCTGTGCTGCTCGGCAGCCATGGCACTCAACTCTACTCTCTGGTCCGCCCCGCTATGCTCACCCCCTTATGCCCTCTCTCCACCATGCCCACCCCCCATGCGCACTCCTCTATGGCGGCAGGCACCTTCTTTCTGTTAGACGACAGCAGCAGCACGCGAGGCCCCAACACGCCCTGGAACAGCTTCAGCGGGCGCACAAGCTACCCACCAAGGCCCGTCAAGGTCGCTGTGCCGCCCGCCTTCAAGGCACTGCTGCCTGCCAACAGATGGGACCGGGACGGTCGCCTGCGCACCACACTGGGCACGTGCCATGCTGGACTCAAGCAGGCTGGGCACTCGCCACGCAAGGTCCGCCACTGGCTTCGCACCTCGCATTCTTCTCTCGTCCCGTCCCTCATCTTGCGCCACTTCCGCACTTCTCCGTGTCCCCTTAATTTCCAAATCCCACCGATGGATTGAAGGAGGTGTTGACCTCTCCATCCTTGCTCCTGTTTCCTCCCCAACGCTCATTTGCCCAACACAGAGGTCCCGCCCGGCACATGAGGTGCGCGCGCGCGTGTGTGTGTAGGGAGCTGTAAGTAGTGAGCAGGTGTCACATCGGGGGTTGGGGCATGCGGGTATTGTGCATGTGCATCCGTTCTTGCCTCCTGTTCAGGGTGTCTCCTGACGCTGCTGCTTCTGTCAATTTCCTCTGCCGAATCCCTTGTAAATCTGCCACCTTATTTTCCATTTCTGCCATCCGTCACCCGGCCTGCCAGCCACCCTCTGTGAGCGCGTGGAAGTACTACATCGCCGAGCCCCTCCCACTCTGCCACCGCTCGTGGCGCACGCCACCAGCCGCCGGAGCCACAGCCGCCCTCACCTTCAGCGGCACAGCGCGTGTCAGCGCAGCCAGGGCCGTCGTCGTCATCCCCCCCCTCGTCACCAGGAGACACGGCCGCACAGCCGCGCGATTGCCACTTGCAACCGCTTGTTCTCATCCACATCGGCTATGATAAGCTGTCGCCATCCCGCCGCCCCCCTGCTGCCCTTGCCACTGCCTCCAATCTTCCCGCTCCCGCTCCCGCTGCAACCCCTCCCGCCGGTCCTGCTGTCGTTGCATCTGGTCCATCTGCTGGCCGTGACATCACTCATGCACTCACCTCGCCTGCCACTGCCACACATATTCATGCCTTCTATAATAACACCGCTTCCGGCTCCTCGCCACCCTCCTCCGCGTCCCCCCACGGCACTGCCCCCTTTTCCACACCACTCGCCTTCTCTGCACCTTCGTCTTCTGCTCTACCTACACCTCCACCCCAGGCTTCTGCTCCCCCCTCCTCTACCTACACCCCCCCCTCTTCTGTGAGCCGCCCCTTTCACGCCCACTCCTGGAGCCCTACCTGGCCCTCCGATTCCCCTCCATTTTGCGCAGACTCGCCCTCCTCAGGTCCCTGTCAGTGCCCATGCCACCTTTACGCAGTGAATCTGTTCTTGGAAGTTGCGTTTTCCGTGTCGAAAAGGGTGCGAGGAGAGGGGGTGGTGGGGGAGGAGACGACTGGGGAGGGTCAGTCGAATGAGAATGCGCATGGATGGGCGAACGAAGGCAGGCGACGTCTGCCGGAGGCGGATCTGAATACCCTGTTGCAGGAGTTGGGTGTTGACCGCAACAGTCGGCTGCATTTCATATTCGACGGGAATGGATGGACGCTTATCCATTCCGCTGCGCGCCAAGGGAATACACCTGTGGTGAGATCTCACATTCTCTAAAACGTCCTCTCTTCTTTTCCCTCTTCCTCAGCTTCTCACCTGTGGCTTCTCGGTTCCCCTCTTCCCCTCCATCCCTCCATCCCCTCCCTCACAACTCTCCCTCTACTTCGCTCTAATCCTCTAAGCCTCTTCTCTCCATCGCTCTGTTGCACTCTGTCCTTTCTGTCGCCTGCCCCTCTGCACTCGTGATGGGCTGTGTACACACTCTCTCTCCCACCTCATCGCATGCCCTTCCTTCGTCACACCTCTTGCACATTTCCCGTACTCTTTCTGCTTCTGCATCCATCACAGTGTCTCGCCCACCGTCCCTGCTTTGGTTCGCCTTCATTCCACGCAAACCATGTGCCTCCAGCCGTAGGCCACACTGGTGGTTGGGCATGCTGGGGAGCAGGGTGCCGTGTGTGCTCATCATTCAACAGACATCACTTTCCCTCCCATTTGCCCCATTGCTTCAGCTTTAAGGTCCGTGCATATGGGCGTGCGGCGAGGAGCATGTTCCCATTGTCGCATTCCCGTCTCCACCACTCCCTCTTGTATTTCTGTGCAGCTGGAGGCGCTAGTGGGGGTGGGCATGTCGGTGGGAGAGCTGGGCAAAGATACCCTCACCACGCCAATGCACCTGGCAGCGTGGGGGGGACATGTGGAGAGCATGCAGTTGCTGCGAAGTTATGGTGCCGACATCCGTGCTCGCACCAGAAAGTGCTGTGAGTGACAGATAAGCTGGTGTTTACACCTCTTTCGTTTCCGACTGTTGTTTCTGCATGAGCATACATCCCATCTAATAATCCCGCACTTCCCTTTATTGTTGCCCCCACCGTCTCCCTCCCCTCTCCTCCCTGGTTCCTCGCCTCCAGGGACTCCGTTACACCATGCAGCGAAAGAGCAGCAGTGGGATGCGGTGAGGTGGGTGGCGCAGCAGGGAATAAAGCCTGCAGAGGTGGAAAGGTCGGGGGCCAACCCCAAGGCGGATAAGCTGCCTGCTCACCTCATGGCCCATGCGGTGCAGATAGTGCGGGAGGTGTATGAGATTTTGTTGACGGAGTGTATTTTGGAGAACGGTAACAGCATGGGAGGGCATGCTACGGCCGCTGGCAGTTAGTGACCCCGGCTTGGAAAATTACAAACAAATACTGTGGTATAATATAACCCCACGGGTTCCTATATATACTGTATTTTACTATACGGAAACTTCTTGTAACTCTAGTACCTTACTCTCTCCTAAATATCGCACCCCGGAACGGGAAATTACAATCTCACCTGCCTTGTCACGTCTCTTTCAACAATAAACGCTGACCCTGTCCTATCTGGCAAAGGTCTGGTGAAGGAGGATAATGCGGCTTCGCTTGTTGCATGAGCCTTAGCACCGAGAAAATGCTGTGTGCAGGAGACCATCAGCGATCAGAGATCAACGTGAGCATAGTCCTTTGCGAGATAGCGATTGGCCGTCAGTCTAACCTGCATATTCATCCACACCGCATTGCAGCACCAAGAACGACAGAATGACAGAAAGGCATGAAGCACACAAAGCAAGATTGGAAAACGAAAAAGCACCAGAAAGGTTCAGAAAGCATTAGCCACATTGCTGTCGTTACCTTTGGCTTGGAGCCGGCGGTGAGAATGATGGTTTGCCGCTGGGGTGGCAAGAATGAGATGATGTAGTTCATGGTGCGACTGCGCAGTGCCTCGGGCTCACTCAGCACGAGCAGCTGATGTGCCATCCCAGCGATGATGGTGTGAACAGATGGAGTGGAGCAGGGGTGGCAAGAAGCAAGCAGAATGTTGACATGATTGGAAGTTGAAATGGGCAGCCAAAGGGGGTAACGGCTAGCTCAGCACATTAGAGTACAACAAAAAGCAGAATGCCATGCCTTGACCACATGCATTGCGTTGAGTTCGCTGAGTTGCTATATTATTTTCACTTGCCACGACATGCTACATTCTATTCACTTGCCCCGACATGCTACATTCTATTCACTTGCCCCGACATGCTACATTCTATTCACTTGCCCCGACATGCTACATTCTATTCACTTGCCCCGACATGCTACATTCTATTCACTTGCCCCGACATGCTACATTCTACCGGTATTCACTTGCCCCGACATGCTACATTCTATTCACTTGCCCCGACATGCTACATTCTATTCACTTGCCCCGACATGCTACATTCTATTCACTTGCCCCGACATGCTACCGTATGGCCCCGGATATAGGCGCCGGCCTATTACAGGCGCCGGCGCTTCTATCTGGAGCATGGCGCTTATGGCCGAAACTCGATTATAAGCGCCCCCCCTGGAAAACCATTACTTATTATAAGCGCCCCCCCATTTTTAATTTAAATCTCAGTTTTAATCGGTAACGAATTTCAGTTTTGCAGCGAGTCAAAATTCATTTTCGCTCCGTTTGACTCGCGAAGACCAGACTGGCTGCGCGTCCAGTCAGGATGTGCTGGCATGCCTGCGAAGTGACGCGAATTTGCCCGTGTACAGGAAGCAGAATCGCTTGCGCGCGATTCTGCTTTCTGACGCTATATTATTTCGACTCGTTTGAAATGGCAACAATGAAAGGTACAGTTTGGTACCTTTAAAGTATAAATTTGTATTTGTCATTATATAAGCGCCGGCGCTTATGGCCGTTATTCAATTACAAGCATCACCCCTAAAAAAACCGATTTTATTATAAGCGCCGTGGCGCTTATATCCGGGGTTAGACGGTACATTCTATTCACTTGCCCCGACATGCTACATTCTATTCACTTGCCCCGACATGCTACATTCTATTCACTTGCCCCGACATGCTACATTCTATTCACTTGCCCCGACATGCTACATTCTATTCACTTGCCCCGACGTGCTACATTCTATTCACTTGCCCCGACGTGCTACATTCTATTCACTTGCCGTGACGTGCTACAGCTGGGGTCCAAGAGACGCATGGCGCTCCAGATAATCGTTGATGTTCTTGTATGGACATGCCATCACCTGCCATGCCATGCCATGCCACGGGGACACACCGCATCAATGCAGGCCCAGTATGGCATCACGAATGGCAATCACGAATGGAAATCACGAATGGCAATCACAAATGGCAATCACAAATGGCAATCATGGTCATGCAATCACGTCACCTGCCTTGGATCCACTTCACCTGCCATGAGTCTGTTAGAATCTAGCAGCAGGAATGATTGAACTATGAAAGTATTGGGTACAAATATGAAACCCTAAAAGGGGCTGTACCCCATATTGGCTACCCCACTACAGCCTACACATATATAACATGCATATACTTTGACACACCCCCATAGGCAAAGTGGGGGAGAGCAAGGGGTCACAAGACCAGTCAAGAGAAACAAAGCAAGCTCAGGGTGGATCACAACGTCACCACACACACTGAGCACAAGCAAAGGGCCACAAGACCAGTTCACATGCAGAGGTATATATGCAACAACAACAGCACAGTGATCTCGACCTAGCAGAGCAAGCATGAAGGTATATATATATATATATATATATATATATCACAGTACAATCAAAGTCTACAGCAAGTGAGGAAACGTGGGCACAAGGCCTAACAGAGTGCATAAACGCTGATGATCACCATACGGAAGCGCCTTGGTGAATATATCAGCAGTGTTGGCCCGAGTGGCCACGTGAGCAAGACGAAGCTGACCACGCTGCTGCAACTCTCGAGCCAGGAAGTAACGCAGAGCGATGTGCTTCGTTCTGTGCTCCAGTCTGTGCTCCTGACACAAGGCAATGGCAGCCTTGTTGTCGACGTACAGCACTGGAGGAGAAC